TGTTTTGTAGCAAATTATTATTTCTTAATCCCTTCAGCTTTTTTTTTTCACCCATTCTCCAATGCTTCTCCCTTCTGGCATCCATCAATTTGCTTTCTGTATCTATAAATGTTTCTTCATTTAGTTTGTTCTTTATATTTCGCATGTAAATCATATCATATGGTATTTGTCTTTATCTGCCTAACTTATTTCACTTACCAAAATGCCCTCTAGGTTCATCCATGCTGTCGCAAATAATGCCTAGCTAGATTTGAGCTGTTTATAAATTTAAGTTGTCTTTAAAAGATCACAGGTCTATCCTTTAAAAAAACTTGACATTTTTCCCCCTATGATTATAAAAATGTCATTTTTTAAAGTTTCTCTAGTACAAGAAGCTCATAAAGATTATTAAATATATGTTCTTACAGATAGTTTTAAAATATATTTTTATTCATTTCAGAAAGGAAGGGAGAGGGAGAGAGAGAGAGAAACATTAATGATGAGAGAGAATCATCAATGGGCTGCTTCCTGCATGCCCCCTATCTGGAATTGAGCCCGGACCCAAGCACATGCCCTGACCAAGAATCAAACTGTGACCTGGTTTATAAGTCAACCACTGAGCCACACTGGCCAGGCCAGATACATTTTTTCTTAAATCTAAGAAATGTTACCTAAGATTTATCTTCAGCTGGTAATTGAGAAAAAGGAAGACTCCTCACCCATATGACTTTGAGTCATAATATATTGCTGAATTTAGTATGGTATTTGTTACAGTGTTTGGAATCTGATAAATTTTAAATTCATAGTTTTCTTTTGGTAGTTAATAAATGTCTAGCGCCCATCATTGCACTAATGTAGACTCTTGGGAAAGAGAGAAATTGATATCAATCAAGTGTCTCATTGATTTGAGGATGCTGATGCAGCTGCTTGCAAGCAGCTTTTTAGTCACATTTATGTCCAGGATAATCTGCATGTGAGCAATTTCTTTTTATCTGAGGGTTATTAGTGTAAATGCTATCAATTCATCCAGATGACATAAAGAGATAGAAAACTGACTGAGGCTATAACAGCAATTCCTGAGGTTCAAGCTATTGTAGTTACTGTATACATTACTTTAGGCAAGAAGAGTCTATTCCTTCTGTGATGAAAGTATGACTTTCAGCTATTTTATTGTGCCTTGTCATATAAGGACTAATTATCATAGATCTGAAGCTACAGTGTTTAGGTTTTGTGGTGTTTTGGTCAATTACCTAGCAGCTAACTGTAGCTCTTTGATGTCTATATACTGAATGGCCAGATCATTATGATCTCTGAACTGATGATAATCTGGCCACTCAGTGTGTATATATATATTAGAGGTCTGGTGCATGAATTCGTTCATGGGTAGGTTCCGGGAAGCCAGGCCAGGGGGAGGGGACATAGGCAGTTGGCTGGCCTGCCTCCTAGTTGAACTCGTGGTCGAGGGGACAATTTGCATATTAGCCTATTATTATATAGGATATACATTGAGTGACCAGATTATTATGCATTCAGAATTCATAATAATCTGGCCACTCAGTGTATATCCTGTCCCAGAAAGAGTTCCTCAAAGTGTGGTCTCTCAAGCATCACATGAGAGTTTTCTATAAATGTAAATTCTCAGGACCTATTTTAGACCTACTGAATGAAAAAACTCTGTATTTAACAAGCTCTCCAATATTGTGTTCATTCATGCTCAAGTATGAAAACTACTTTTCCAGAGTAGTTTACAGGGAATCTAAGACCTTCCCTTGAGTCACAATGAGAAATTACATTTCAAGACTATTCAAAAGGAGTCTTACTAAACTCCAACCCCTCACATCCTAGCAATTCCTTACAGAGCCCATCCAGGCAGCATGGAGTGTGTACCACCAAAGCCTTCTCTCGAAGGAAATGGCCCAGGTCTTGAGAAAATCTTTACTCTGACTATAAGATATAAGCCATGCCATGCTCAAATGAAAAAGCGTTCATTTATTTAATCAACTGATATATTTGAGCATTTACTAAGCTCTAGTTATATATCTGAGTCAATAATCTTTTGTTCAAAGAAAGAAGATAAGATGTGAGCACAATAATGTAATATGTGGGAAAAGAGATCACCCCACACTCAGATACATAAAACTCAAATTCAAACGAAACAAGTTGCATATTTAGCTGCTTAATTTGACAATAGTTAGCCATAAATATTTTTCAAGCTACCATAAACATAATCAGTGGTGAAGTTTGAAAAGATAAATTTTGTGACTCTATGTGGAATGGGCTAGAAGGAGAAGAAAGACCTACTAAAAATAATTATAACAACTGAGAAACAAGTACAGCCTGACCTAGGATGGAAATAGACTCAAAAGGGTTCTTACCAGTGAATGACTATAAGATTGTTGGTCAATGAAAAGGGATAAGTGGAACACATATATATAAAATTTGCAGATTAAAAAAGATTGTTATGTTATTAAAATTAAAGTAAAATAAAAGGTGAAGAACAGAGCTTGAGGATGGGAAGCTTGTTATTTTGTGAAAAAGTTGAATGTAGGATACATAATGAACATTCATTCAAACTAAAGGGCCCAAGTTATAGGTAGAGCTAGAGGACTGCTGGTAGTTCATGAGAAGAAAACAGAATTGAACATATAAGGGGAACATCTACACAGAAGTGATTGTTAATGTTATGTGAAGAAATTAGACTTTTTAAGGGAAAATGGGTTAAAGGAAAAATGAAACAGGCTATAGAAAACACTTTTGCTAGAGGCCCAGTGAATGAAATTTGTGCACTATGTGTGTGTGTGGGAGGTGTCCCTCAGCCAAGCCTGCACCCTCTCCAAATCTGGGCCACCCTCGGGCAATGTCCAATTGCCTATTGGCAGTCAGACATCCCTCTCACAATCTGGGACTGCTGACTCCCAAATGCTCACCTGCCTGCCTGATTGCCCCTAACCACTTCTGCCTGCCAATCTGATCACCCATTAACCACTCCCCTGCCAGCCTAATTAACACCTAACTGCTCTCCTGCCAACCTGATTGCCCCCAACTGCCCTCCCTGCCAGCCTGGTTGCCCCCAACAACCCTCCCCTGCCAGCCTGATCTTACCCCCAACTGCCCTTCTCTGTGACCCGAATGTCCCTAACTGCCTCTGCCTGCCTGATCACCCCTAAATGCCTTCCCCTGCCAGCCTGATCTCCTCCTCACCCGTCCTCTTCTGCTGGCCAATTTGGTTCTGATTGGTCAGTTTCTATGCCAGTCAGCATCAAAAGCTCCACCTCCTAGGCATCCATTGGCTCCTCACAGTTGACTCAGATTTGGTTCTGATTGGTCAGTTTCTATGCCAGCCTGAATCCCTGGGCCTATCAATGGGGCCTGATCAGAAAGGCAAGGATGATCAGCAGTCCCATTGGAGGCCTGGAGAGAAATGGAGGTGAGGCTGCTGGCCAGTCCTGGAGAGAGAGGCAAGTGTTGATCAAGAGCTGCCACAGAGGCTATGGATCAGACCCTGCTTCTCTCTTTAGGCCTCTCTCTGGACCTGATTCACAGTTCCCTCATTAGTCAGTGTTGAGTCATTGCACCTGCAATCGTAGCAGTCAGTACTGGGTCACCAGGCAACCCAGTGCTGACTGTAGGATGGACTTTTGGTTGGTCAAGCCTCCAGTCATTGTAGATGTGACAGACCCAGGGTTTTTATATATTAGGATGGGTTGAAGAAAGGCATCCATGGAAGAGGCAGATGAATCAAAAACAGTGTCATGTGAGCAAAAGTGATATCCAGCTGGAACTTACCAATATTGGTGGAGCAATTGTTTACATTTCTTCTGAGTCCTAAGTGCTCTGTTCTTATTAGTGTTCATGTTGATCTAGTTTTCAAAATTTTTAAGCCTAGAAAAAAGGGCAAAGAATGAGGATCCGGTCATTACAAAACTTAGATTTGGGCAAACTTTAACACCTTATAGAACTTTCTGGCAAACTAGAAGAGAACAGCTTCCAAGAAAAAAAAATAGTATATGCATGAAGTCATTCTACAATCTACAGTCTGGTTTAAGGAGCCCTCCGTCATGATAAAGACAGTAATTAGAACTGAGGTGAATTATGAATTCTGATATCACCTCTAGAAAAGGAAATTGGTGAATGAAAGACTATCCAGAAGATAACTGACTTCTTGTTTTTAGAAACAATAAATGAGAAATCTGGGATGTTTGTCTTAAAACCTTTGAGATAAATATGATGCATGATAGTGTCATCAAATAGTTGATGAGTTCTTATGTAAAAAGGGGGAAGAATGAGGAAAGGAACAGATTTTAGAACCGAGATTTATTCATTTACATTGTAATTTTTTATTCTTATTTTCAAACTGATTAACATAATGAGAAAATAATTTGGTAGTGTATTACATGTAAAATAAATGGAGAGCAGTGAAGAATTATGCCTTTTCTATAAGAATTCAGTGTAACAATATCCTCAGTCCCAAAATCCAAGAACCAACTTCTGGCAAAAAAATTAAATTAAATAAATAAATAAATAAATAAATAATCCACTGACAAGCAACTCGCAGTTCTCTCTCTCTCTCTCTCTCTCTCTCTCTCTCTCTCTCTCTCTCTCTCTCTCTCTCTTTTTCTCGACAGGGTAAAATGACTAAACGCAGTATTAATTGAATGTAGCACTATTTAGAATTAGCATATGCTATCCAAATATGTGGCTTTTTATAAACAGACAAGATTCTCTATAATCTGTGCCTCAAAAAATGCTAGAAGTTAACATATTATTATTCTTTGTATTGATTTTTCTCCTACTGCCTTCACAACAACAACAAAATGAAAACATGATCCCTTACACCTCCAAATTAGTTCCAGAATAGTTGGCATTATTGAATTGTTCTTGAAAACTAATGAAGGCTTCTTTCTGTTCCCCCGGCAGTCAAATATTTGGAGATGTTTGTGAAAAGAGGTGAATGTTTTCATATCCTATTATTTCTTTTGTAGAACAGTGACTTCAGTTTTACTCTGTACTGTTTTTGACAGACAATAAAGATTATGATGCATACTTGTCCTATACCAAAGTGGATCCTGACCAGTGGAATCAAGAGACGGGGGAAGAAGAACGCTTTGCTCTTGAAATCCTACCTGATATGCTTGAGAAGCACTATGGATATAAGTTGTTTATACCAGACAGAGATTTAATTCCAACTGGAAGTAAGTTCATGTTTTCATTTGCATATCCTTGTGTCTATCTGTGTAGACATCATTTTTAGACAGAACTTGACCTTTTGGTTCTTTATTTCAAAAATTGTATATGTCAGATTGTTAAGAAATGTTGTTATGTGTTCATATGAAACTTAATTTTGACACCTCTGAAGTGGTACTTCCATCATTTTATAAAACAACTCATCTTGATGAGCCCTAACACTTAAATAAACCAAATGAGAGATTTATGCCTGGAAAAATATCTTTAGCATTAAAAGAAGCAAATTCCATACTCTATTCAAAGTGATCATTGGATATTTTCATCTCCTCCAGATGTCACCCAATGAACACCAATTCTCATCTAGTGTGGGAAAGAGAATCTTCCAGAGCTTTCTGGAGCACATTTTGGATTTACTCATGCTGATCACTCTTTTCTCTTTTGTAGCATACATTGAAGATGTAGCAAGGTGTGTAGATCAAAGCAAGCGGCTGATTATTGTCATGACCCCAAATTACGTAGTCAGAAGGGGCTGGAGCATCTTTGAGCTGGAGACCAGACTTCGAAACATGCTTGTGACTGGAGAAATTAAAGTGATACTAATTGAATGCAGCGAACTGCGCGGAATTATGAACTACCAGGAGGTGGAGGCCCTCAAGCACACCATCAAGCTCCTGACGGTTATTAAATGGCATGGACCAAAATGCAACAAGTTGAACTCTAAGTTCTGGAAACGTTTACAATATGAAATGCCTTTTAAGAGGATAGAGCCCATTACACATGAGCAGGCTTTAGATGTTAGTGAGCAGGGGCCTTTTGGGGAGCTGCAGACTGTCTCAGCCATTTCCATGGCTGCAGCCACCTCCACAGCTCTAGCCACTGCCCATCCAGATCTCCGTTCCACCTTTCACAACACGTACCATTCACAAATGCGTCAGAAACACTACTACCGAAGCTATGAGTATGATGTACCTCCTACTGGCACCCTGCCTCTTACCTCCATAGGAAATCAGCATACCTATTGTAACATCCCTATGACACTCATCAATGGGCAGCGGCCGCAGACAAAATCCAGCAGGGAGCAGAATCCAGACGAGGCCCACACAAACAGTGCCATCCTGCCACTGTTGCCAAGGGAGACCAGTATATCCAGTGTGATTTGGTGACAGAAAAGCGAGGGGCATCCTGTCCCTGGGAGCTTGAGTAGAGTCTGCAGTCCAGTGCCTGGAACTAAATCCTCGACTGCTGCTGTTAAAAACATGCATTACAATCTCTAGAACACGAGGAAAAACAGGGTCTTGTACATATGTTTTTTCCAGTTTCTTTGTAGCATCAGTGTCTTGTTGTTTTACCACGTCTCTTACTCATGACATTTTTGACTTTGTTTTATACGTCACTGGAATTTGTAAATTGACATTTTTTTAAAGAAGAGACTTATGTATAGATAGACAACCCTTTTTTGCTTCATTAGTTTAGTTTTAGAATTGGGTTTTATTTCCTTTTCTTGATTTTGTTTTGCTTTTAACATTTCCTTGGGGTGCTTGGACAAATCCATCTGATGGGACAAGGAGCACCGGATCCTCTCTTAGGTTCTACCTAGGATCAGCAGGGCCATGTGGGCCTTCAGAGAGCAGTGCATCGAATGCCAACATTGCCATTTGAGGGGAGAAAAATAAAGAAGAGAACACTTGCTCATAGGATGGCCCCGCCAATCAGAGCCCTGAATCTTTTCCTTGTCCCACCTCATCCCCCACCGCTACCCTTCTAATGGCGGCATGATGTGTACATTCTGAGGAAGGGTGGGGGCGGGTCTAACTGTCTTAACATTTACTTCACTGCTGGTCAGAATACACTCCAGACCCAAAAGTGTGCTAGTCACCTAACAGTGACCACTACAGCGTGCTAAGAAGAGAAGATCAAGGGCATGAAAATGGGGGAAAGAGTGTTGTTTCTGTTTTTTAAATGAGTTGATGTACCCTTATATAAATATATATATAAATATAAATATACAACAAAACAAACAAACAAAAAACAAAAACAAAAAACAAAAAACAAAACAAAACCCAAAAAAAAGAGTAAGCCCTATATTTGATCACTTCCTGGAAAGGCATGAATGTGTTTGTGGCTGTTTTTGTTTGATATTCTACTTCCTCTTTTCCCTCTGTATTTTTTTCTGCAAATGAGATTATGTGCAAATGCCTGGCAAGTTAACTCAAAAGGGTGAATCAAACACAAGTCAAAATGAAATTTACATTGAAGGCTTCCAAACCAAAGGGAAGAACAGGATGTGTCATCAAATATGTTTTTGTCACCTTGTATTATACAAAATGTTATTTTCTAAAGAGTCAGAACAAATCTGTGAAACTTATTATGGGGTTCCCTTGTATTAAATGTTAACTCACTGTATTTAATTTTCAATGCTACATTCAGAATCCAGTGTTTGGTTTCACTTTGTGAACATAAGTAACACTTATTAATATCCAAGTGTTTAAATAAGAACTCAGGAGGTCATGCATATGAATACCTAGAGAAATCAGTATTTTCAAAATAAACATTATTTACACAAAGTGGTTTTTAAATTAGGTAAGAACGTGTTTAAAATAATTTTATTGTATAAAAAATAGTTTCATTTTAACTGTATAATTCTCTTTCAGAAACATAAAGCTGATGCTCCCAGGAAATCCCTCCCTACTGTGTAGCTTTATGTTTGAAATCAGTAACATAAGCAGCTAATATATATTTATGTTGAAGATAATGCAAAACCTGTCATACTGGAACTTGCAGAGGGCAGAATTGTTAAAGGGAAATATTACCTATGTAGCTTTTAGTTTAAAAACAATCAATGTGATGAAAATACTGATAATAGAACTTTTACATTATTTAGTGATCCATCGTAGGAACTTCCATTCTAGTCATTGTCTGTGGGCTGGTGTAGTGACTATTGTATGTTTGGTTTGTTCCTACCACCATATAATAAGAAAACAAGTCTACAGTTTTGGTCACTATTCTAACGTGTGAGTTGGCCACACACACAAAAAAAAGTGTAAACTTCTATATAATTTATCTGGGAGGGTAAATTTGAATTGCAAATGTACAAGCGATAAGTATAAGCATTTTGTAATAATATAAAGGCCTCAGTAAGCCTTGGGATGTGCATTGATTTTAATTTGCTTAAAAAATGTTTTTTTTCTCTGACAAATCACCTCGGTTCTTCTCTAGAATGTATTCTTTATTCCCATGTTCCCTTTGGATCTGTGTCACATTTTCAGAACTGAAGCTGCAAGGACACATAAACTTGAAGGTCAGCTCTGCACATTGGGTTATTTTCAGAATTCAAGAGAGCCATTGTTTACTTGTACTATGGACACCTGTCAGAGACTGGTGGCAGTGCACCTCATTGGACTGGATGCTAGACTCCTCCAGTGCTCAGAAAACTGTAAACATGGCAATGGCCTGGTCTATGTATTTTTCATTTTTTATTTTTTTAAGTGCACGATGGAAGTGTGGAATAATTGTAGAGGAAGTAATCATGCCACAGTCATATTTTAGGCATCCATAGGCGTTAATTTAGCTGCCTTCTGAGTACATCTTTTGTTCTATTTTTAGTGTAGATTTAAGCACTTTGAATAGCATGATTCAGGGATTGATGGGTAATATTTGATGTTCTCACAACGTAAGAAACATTTTTCCTCTAATGCTTTGTCATATTTTTTAAAAGATGAAATAAATGGAGAAGCTATCTATGGATTTAGAAACATTCCTCCCAAATATTCCTCTATCAGCTCTATGTGAGAACAAATGAACGAAACTGTCATGTGTTCACGTGCTGTGTGTTTAACAAAATTTATATTAGAACTCACAATAAAAAGAGAAAAAAATGTATTTTCCCTAGTGCTTAGGTTTCATCCTCTTTTTTCTGTGGGGGCTGTGGGAGATAAGCATATTCTAGTTTTAAAAACACAATCGAAAGTGTGAATACATTAGCCAAGCCGAAGAACAGAATGGTCTTGTGTACTTGGACATGTGTGATGTTTGGTATTGCCTGTTTTCCATCCATCATTGCTCAGGCTCCAAGTGACACATTATGGATTCAAGAGTTTATCTGGTTCTTTAATGTAACCTCTACTTGCTGCCTATGAGTGTCCTACCCTTTATACTGGTGCTCAAATCTTTGATTATTTAATTTATAATTCGTTCCTTAGGTTTCCTATAGGCAGAGAAAAAATTTGTATCTCATGCAGCCAACTGATATAAGTTTAGATTTTTCTATGAAATAAATCTGAGACACAATGAGTTAAGAGACCTGAACCTACTATATTTCTATAGCAAAACACCCAATCAACCATTTTGTGTGTATTACTTTCTTCTTAATATAAGTATTTGAACCTTATTGACTTAATCTTAAATATCTAGATACTGGCTTCTTCTTTATTTCTTTATTATTTAGTATTTTATAATGAGAAAATATTAATGGAGAGCCAACCCCTAAACTATAAGTAAGTTTTATTTATCCTAGAATAGTAATTAACTTTGACAAGTACCATTGGTGTAAATTAAGATCACCATTTCTAGGAAAATATTAATTCATACATTTGTAAATTATTTTCTGATTCTGGAATTATACCCTAGTTCTTTTTCTAGGAAGTACTTTTTATCTTGTGCTTAATTTATTTTTTTCTTAAATTTAGTTTAAGCTTATATAATTAGTTCCAGAATAAAGCTTATTGAAATTCAAAGGAGACTATTAATATTATAGAAGTGAAATAACTGAATGGAACTAAGGTATTACACAGACACCGAAAAGGAAAATCCTGGTCTCTAATCTGAACTTGATTGGTCATTTTTCCCATTATTTTCATAATTGGTTAAGAGAGATGAAATATTAAATGGGTTAGAAATCCCACCTACAGACATATATTCCCCATCACTGAAGAATTTTTTATAATATATAGTTACTTCAAAAATTAATAATGCAACTGAGTTTCCTCAAAGAGAAGCTTATCAGTGGAAGCAGATCTGTTCCTTGCCCTGTCACAAATCCTTTCCACCTTATTGTTCTGAGCAAAGAAAATAACCAACAATCAAATTTTGATTATCCTTAAAAATAGACCTTAATCTTGGGATCAGGGGCCAATTGAGTCTATAAAAAGGATTAAAGGCAATAATGAAGTCCTTGAAATTCCAGACAAAATTGTGAATGTGTGCAAAATTATATTTTCCTGAATGTCAGAGTCAAAGACATCCATCACCTAAAAATCAATTGATGTTTGGACTTAGACCATATTCTCAATCTATCATTAAGATAAACCACATATCTTGCAAGCTCTGTTATGGATACTATTCCTCACCTTCATGCACAAAAACTCACTGGATGCTTATTGTTCTTTTAACAAACAAAGGCAGTTCCTCGTTCAATATGACCCAAACTATGGGCAATTGGGTTTATAGTGAGGATAAACTTTGTATGATGACAAGCAATTCATGCCCAGATAAATGAGAACTGACTTACTATGATAGTTTACTCATTTCTTAAGTTACTCAAAAGATAATTTGGGGAGAATGTGAAATCATTTAATTTGGCATGATGCTTTATTTCATTAAACTTTTTTATGATTTAGGTTCAATCATGTTTCCTACACAAAACTATAAATTAATCCAGTACAGGGGTAGAAGAAACAACCATTTGACATGCTTTTCCGAAGGGATCCGGTTTTCTTATGCCAAGATTTAGAATTGGTTGTGTACTTGGTTTTCAGCAATTGGGCTTTTACTAGGTTCAGGATATATGATGTGATTTTGGGGTAGTAAAAATTTTGAGAATAAACTGAATGAAGTGTTTATTTAAAGTTTTACTTTTTATTCATGATTGGCAGCAAGGTGACATTTTGTGCTCTGTTGATAATTAAGATATAAGGAATTGTCAGAACTAAATGTGAGTAAAGAGAAGGATGATGATGAGTTAATCCTAATCCTAAACCTGCATGTTTTGTCATTAAACTTCAGTCACATGCATAAAAAATGCTCAGACTAAAAAGAAGGAACTCGGCTCAAATCTTCCATTGAGTATTATTTCTTCCTCCCTGGCTTAGAATACAAAATATCTTCCCATTTCAGAATTACAGACAAACAGATATCTAAAAGAAAAATTTTCTTCTGCCTCTTTGTAAATGTCCCTCTTTATAGTCTATGAATCCACTGACAAACTCATGTTTCTCAATTGGTCATTAAAGTAAGTAAAGTAGGGCACTATTGTTTTCTACCATTCACTGTGTTCATTGATGCATTCCCTAGGGTCCATAGTCTGAAAGTATTCTCTTTCTAACAAAGGCAATCATCCTCAGTCATTACATTGTATTCCCCCCAAGGCTAAATGAAGATAAACCGAAGAAGTATACATGAACTTTGAGACTATTACATGTAATATTGATGTTGTATAAATTTCAATCTTCATAGTCCATATAATCTTAAGTTTCAAAGGGCATGCTTGTCATTAAAAAAATGTAAAATGACATATTACATAGTGCATGAACATGTGGCAAAGTAAATTGGATCTATCCTTCCTAGTCAATGAGAGACTAAATTTGGGGAGATTAGATGTGAGTGTTTTAGGATAATTCTCAACTGGGGTGAAGACATCTTTATGTTAGAACACATGGACAGATGTCCATATTCTTTGCAGCATATGTTTCTGGTAACTAGAATCCTTGGTGTGTTCTTTCCACCAAAGTAGTAGAGATATGTTCATATAATCTGCTATTGAATTGTAAAGACTTTTACATTTTCAGAGTTTGAGGGAACCCAAACAGGAAAGTGAATTGAGTCATTTTTCTCTGCTGGTGTTCAAGTCAAATTTTAAACTCAGACACTCACAGATGTGTTCAACAGTCAGTAAAAAGTGCATTTTATGTAGTGTTTCCCATTAGTTTTGCTTACCCTCTTTCCTCGTTGATTTTATACAATATAGAATGTATGTAACTCATGTGTAGGTGATGGAGGCGCTCCTTTTTTTCTTAGAATACTTACAATTATATATTTGGTTTTGCTTTGAATAGCAATAGGTAAATAGACAAATACAGGTGTAAAAATGAGAAATTTTAAACTTGAATTATAATTTGTGTTTTATAGTCATTTCATAAGTATGTTACTCTCTATGAGTATGCTCTCTATATATCCTGTAAAAATAAATTTATATGTTACATAGAGATTCAAGAAATTAAATTATTTATTAAGCTACAAATGTTTCTTCTGGTTTCTACCTTGCCATAGATAAAAATAAGTTAATAGTGTGTTGTTGGAACATATGTAAGTACCTTCGTTAATTTGATAACTTGTTATAGTTTTTTCTCTATTTATGTCTGTATAAACTTATAACTTGTAGACTTAATTCCTATTATAAGTATGAAGAAAGGAATTTAGGAAATGTCCAATTGGCTGAACATAAAATCCTTGTTAAAAGGTCAAGTCTACTTACCCTTTTTTCTTCAGTACTGGATTATGGACACATTAAAAGTTATTATCATGCTAATGAGCTTTTCAAGGTTGAATTCTGCATTTCCCTCTAATCTTTTTCATAAATTTATTTGAGAAACAGAAATGAAAGGCATTAAAACATGTGAGTCCTTTTTGCTGTTTCTCTTTCTTACTTCCCAGGTATTTTATTCCTTTCATTTTAAGGTACTACTCATATAATGACCTTAAATTAAAGCCCCTTTCACGTAATATTTTAAAGTGGCCAAGATCTTTAATCATCTTATTTTTCTACTCTGTTTGTACTTACTTGTAGTGCACAGTCATCCCTAAAGGGAAATGATTTTGGCCTTCCTTTTCATTTTATGTTAAAAATAAATAAACTCATTTATTTATTTATTCATAGGGAGGGGGTGTTGGTAAATTTTTCCATCACAAGCATAACAAATGAACAAACATAAACCTCTTAGAATGAATGGACTCTTTAGGCAGAATTCATATATTAGGACAGGCTTTTAAGAAACACTTACTGAAGATGAAGCAGAGTTAAATCATTATAAA